TGGTGAAAATATTAAGAAAAGGGACTGCATGAAGACCACACATGTTTTGGGACAAGGACCTTTATAAGTTCTCAGAAGAACATCTCTATAGGTCTCCTCCACCTTCACCTACACAAGTGTCCACTTGAGAGTAGATGAAAGTACACCAGATATGGTAACATATGCCTATAATCTTAGCACTTAGGAGGTACAGGCAGGAGAATCCTTGGCCACATAGGGAGTTTGAAGTAACTCTAGGCTACTTGAGACCTTATCTCAAAACAAAACCAGGAGACTAGGGATACAGCTCAGTTGATAGAATGTTTGTATAGCATGCACACAGCCCTGGGTTCAATCTACAGCATCACGTAAACTATGGTGGGGGTGGCACATGCCTTGTGTAATCCCAACACTGCACTTGGAAGGTGGAGAAGTTCAAGGTCATCTTTGGCAACCTAGACTTGCCTGGGATACATAAGACCCTGTCTCCAAAGAAAAAGAAATAAAATAATAGATGAACTCATCCACTGGCTTACCAAAACAGGCTCCTTGGGCCCAGGCAGCAGGTGGCTCCAGAAGGGGGTGGCTTTGGCATCAGAACTATTGGCAGCAAGAGGGCAGCCCAGGGTTCCCCGGCGCCTCCGAGGGGCTGGCCCCTCATCCTCAGAGCTGACATCCAGGGCTTCTCCAGCAGGCAGCAGCCTTCGCTTGGTGGGGCAGGGGCCTGGAGGTCCAGGGCCAGGGGGTGTGTGCTCGGGACTGTGCCCATTGGCAGTTCCAGGGGACTCCCTAGGCCAGGGACTGCTCCCTTTGCCCCCCTTAGCCACTGGGCTTTTACCCTCTATTTGTGCAAGATTGTGCAAATCAGTGTCAAGTGTGTGCAGCTGGCCTGAAGGGGCTGGCCCTGGAGACTCCCCCAGGTACCCCTGTCCCCCTTGATCTGGGAAAGCCCAGTCTCTGGTGTGCAAAGTATTGCAGGAAGCATTTGATGGGGGCCAGGGGTTACTCTGGGTCCCTGAAGTCCAAGGTGAGGTGGCACTACCTCCCTCTTCCATAACACAGAGGCCATGATGGGAGAAATGCTGGCTGGCCACACCCAGTCCCAGACCCAGTCCCTCTGGGCCCAACAGTCCCACAGTAGATGGTTCTTCAGGGGGTAGTCCCTCTCTGGCCCCCAGCCCAGGGCCTCTTTTCAGCTCCCGGGAACCCTCAG